ACAAATGACTGCCTTTGGGTCTGAACCAATAAAAGGTGGTTTCCTTCCAGACAGCCAAGGGAGTTACTCTTCCTCCTAATTACCTTTCCTAGTCTAAACTTGGAACTCCCCAGTATGGTGGGCTGGCAGAGCTGGGTCTTATCCTTTCTAGTCTGTTATTCTGCCCATGTCCTCTGGCTTGCCTTTTAATCAGGATGAGACACAGAGAGGGAATACATGTGTGACTTTTACCCAGTAATCCAGTGCTCTAGTCATTTGGCTTGGCTCTCGAATGGCTTTTCAAAACATTATGACACTGTTAGGGAAATTGTATGAGAGGATGGTCTTGAGCATGGTGTAATGATGTCTGTGGAGTCTTGTGGGAAGGATCCATCATCTCCAAATCCAAATGTTCCCACTGAGGTTCCAGAGATCAGATCAAGAACAGGCTTTCATTTTTTTTGTGCTGAGAGAGCCACAGGAAAACCTGGGTATCTGAATGGCTTTCAGAAACCACAAGGGCTTTGTGTAGAAGAAAATCTTAGGAATATAAGGACAGAGTTACATGGGAGGGTGTGAGGGAATATACCAGAGAAGTTCAAAGATACACAGAAACATTGATAGCATGACCTTTCTCCCTTGTGGTGAGTCTGTCATATAGGTGCCCGCAGCAAGGAACACTCTCGGTGAGCAGAGGCCATCACACTGGGTGGAGTTTCATGCTGCTGGAATGTGACCACCCTGAGGCATTCTTATTTTCTGGGTAATCCTCAAGAGGTGACCCTTGACATCTATCTAATTTACTCAGGTGCGGGGCAACACCTCCCTGTCTGAGAGCAGTTTGGAGTGTGTAGGTGCAAGGTTTGACTTCTCAGATTCTTCCATCTAGAAAGCAAGGCATCAGATTGTTCCCTGCAATAAAATATCAATGGGAAAAACCCATCCATCAATCTGTGAACTTTCTGTTTGAAAGGGAAGACACACCTTTTTCAAGCCGAGGGGCTGCAGCTTGGATTCATAGTCATGGAGCATTTGAAATAAGCCCATGAAGAGCTCTGTGACTCGACAGATTAGAGAGATGGCTTGGTCCAGTAGTTTCAACTAATTAGACGTGATCCTGTTAACTTAATATTTGCTATGAAGGATTAGTTGTCTTTTAAAAAGTGCAAAGTTGGGGGAGTATATCTTGTGGGTGTCCCAGCCAGATGAGTCCATCAGTAGCTGCCTTTGTTGTTGATGAGAGCAGTCTCTTCTTAGCCAGATGGAGAGATTTAGGCAAATTGTGAAATAGGAAAATCTTGAAGACTCATGAAGAGACAGGGCGGAGACTAGTATCATCACAGAAACCTGGAGAAGCAGAGCACGTCACATCCTAACGATTACTAGGGTTATCCATAGGGATGTTCACAGAGACCAGCGACACCCCAGGCTGCTGCCTGGAGAAGCTGCTTCTGAGGCACTCACAAGCATCACACGTGAGCTTGAAAGGAAACTTCCAGTAGCGCTTGACATTTCTGGGTGTGTCACAGGTAGAGACGTGGGTGCCTGCATGGAGGCCATGATGTGGCCTGTTGGGAGTCCCCACCCCATGTTTGAGACGGGCTAGAAGTAGAAGGGTATGTGCTGAGGTCGAGACCCTGGCTTTCTGTTTGGGTGTGAACATAGAAGTCAGAGCAGCCGTTTGAATTTTCCAGTGTCTGGGTTCTGGATCAGATAACTCAGCAGGAGGGGATGGAGTGTTGCCCTCTCAGAGACACCACAGCTGCCTTTTGAATAGAGCCCGTGAAAATGGGTTTCTTCCAGTGAACAAAGGAGAACATTTTTTTAAGCACCTGGAGAATCAGGAACTCCACAGTATAGAAGCTGACGGAGCACAGGCGTGTGAAAGGGACGGGAGCCACTTGAAAGATACGTTCATTTGAATTTCTCTGTCTCTGGGTTCTCACCCCTCTGCTTTAAAGCAAACTCATTTTCTGCTGCAAGTCTTCTTTGATGCAAGGGGTCTAGAAAGACAGCTTTTATCCAGGGAGCCTGATTCTTCTCCCACACCAGACCCATCCTCCTCATTCCCTCCCATGATGACTCCACTCCTGTCCTCTATCACAGGGTTGCACTGTGGGGGTGGGGGGAAGGGGGAGACAAAAGATGGGGCTACAGGGAGGAGGCGACAGTTTCCAAGTTTTCCATGGGCCACATCCCTGCATATGGCATGTGAGGCGCCGTCTACTTATTTGGCATGCATTGAATGTGATCTGCAGCTCACTTCTCTCCAGTGCCGTGAGCTCAGCCTTGCCTGGCTTTTGGGTGGGTTTGTGTGCCTGGACAACCAGGGGAGACATTCTGGGACCATGTGTAGTGTGCGCATCGCTAACATAAAGTGAGGCAGGGACACTTACAGCAATAGCAACAGTAAGGGCTCAGAGGGCTGGTAGGATGCTTCCTGGCATTCTTGAGATGTGCTTGACTGGCTTGTATCGGTTGGTGGTGGAGTTCTTCGTTTCTCACTCCTGGGATTTTTCAAGCTTGGTGTGAAATCCATTCTGGCAGTGGCACCCATGAAATCTATCATGGGTAAATTGTCTCTGGTTGTGCGTTTGGAAGAAGCACGTCACCTCTTTTTACAAAACCTGGCATAAATTGTGAAACAGATTCAACCCCTGGTTACCAAGGGGCTCACCGGGCCTTGGTTGGAGAATCTGGGAGCCTGGCAGCTGCAGGGCTGGGTGGGTGGGGGGGAGCCAGGCCTGTGTCCCCCAGCCTTCCCCATTAGCTGAGCTGTGCAGGGCTTCCAGCGTGGGGACTGAGACACAGGGTGCTGATGATACAGGGGGCTGCAGACGTCCTCATCACACCTGCGCCCAGCTCCGCAGTGTGCAGTCCCTGCTGATGCCAGGCCTCCTTGCGAGTGAGGTTTGGAATAAGGGAATTCAGCAGCTCACAACTGACTGGAAAAGAAAATCAATAGTTCCACTTCCCCCTCAGATACATATCTTATTAAAGCAGGAGACACAGTGAAACAGCAGGTCCCGAACTGGAAAGCAGATGGTGGAATCTGAGAGGAGTGCAGCAGAGATGCCCAAAGAGGGTGGCGTGGAGGCAGCTGTGTGCCTGGCATCCACGAATGTGCTTGCCCAGGGACAGTGCAAGGTGCCACCAAACTGGAATAATGCAGAGACCGCGGAGAGAGGCCACTGCATCACATCAGCAGACTCTGAGTCTCCAAACTGCTTCTCTGTTCGTGGTGATTGTTCTTTCATCTCCACCTCTGGACTCTTTCTGTCTTCTCCCTCTTTACCTCTGCCTGTTGCTTTGCCAAAACAGAGGCTTTATGGCACTGAGAACATTAGAAATCATCTAGAGAAGAAGAGAACTTTGCATTGTTCTAGGAAATTCTGACTTTCCCCCCCCTTTCTCTCCCTTCCTTCCTTCCCTCTTTCCTCTTTCTCTCTCTTTCTCTCTCCCTCCCTCCCTCTCTCACCCTCTCTCTTTCTCTCTTTCTTTCGACAGAGTCTTGCTCTGTTGCCCAGGCTAGAGTACAGTAGTGCATTCATGGCTCACTGCTGCCTCAGGCTCCTAGGCTCCAGCGATCCTCCTGTTTCCTGAATTGTTGGGATTACAGGCATTAGCCACCGCGCCTGGCTTTTTTATCCTCTTGTCTTAAAAAGTAGACACCTTGCTTTTCCAAGGAATTCATGAGGCAGATGAATATTTGAACCGAAAGTGATGCAATGAGTCAGGGGTGAATGAGCAAAGCTAGACTGAGGATGGGTCCTCATAGTCTAAGTTTGCTGGGAGGCAGCACCTGCAGTGTTTGGGAACTCCCTGCAGGAGTGCCCTCTCCCCTCTTGTTTACCCTGTCTGGTTTTCTTAGTCAGGTTGGTAATGATACTCATGTGAATTTTGACGTCTCTCTAGTTTACAAAATGCTCACTTTTGCTTATGAGAAACCTGTAAGGCAGGGGTCCCCAGTCCCCAGGGCTGTGGACTGATACAGGTCAATAGCCGGTGAGGGGCAGGGGCACGGAACTCTGGCTCCTGTCAGATCAGCAGCAGCATTAGAGTTTCACAGGAGCACAGATGCTATTGTGACCTGCACACGCGAGGGATCTAGGTTGTGCACGCCTTATGAGAATCTAATGCCTGATGATCCCTCCCTCCCCTTCCACCCCCCTCATTCGTGGAAAAATTGTCTTCCATGAAACTGGTTCCTGACGCCAAAAAGGTTGGGGACTGCTTCTGTGAAGTATATTGGGCACTATAATGATTTTGTGCCCATTTTGCAGATGAGGCTGCCGAGGGTTCAAATTCACGCAGAAGTAAGTACGCTAACTTCTTTGGCCAATTTTTTAGGCAGAGGGATTGAGAGATAGTTAACGGTAATGGCCTTGCAGAGACCAGGGCTTGGACGGGGTGCTTAGTCGAGCAGTGGAAAGAAGAGCATGGGTCTGTAGGTCCAAGCAAAAGAGAATGGTTGTCACTCCAGTCCAGAGATGGCTGGCTCTGTGCTGCACTGAGTGCCTGGTGTCACCCGAGTGAATTGGAACCAAGGGGTCCCTAAAAGTAGGCAGACCAGGGAGACGAAGCCGGCAACTGGCTCTAGTCAGAAAGATCTGTCAGCAGTTCCAAAGAAAGAAATGTGAGAGGAAGAGAAACTGGAAAGTGAGACCTGGCCCCCAGGGCTAGAGGAGCTGGTGTTACTGTGTGTAAAATGAGGGTTTGAACTGGGTGATGTGGAACATCCCTTCTGGTTCTAGGATACTTTGCCCTTTAGGGGTGTGTGAAATAAAATAAAATAAACTGCTTAAAAAATTTCTGTCCCTAAGAGCCCCTTATAAATTCACTTGCAAAGTTTCTGGGGCAGACTGTGATCACCCATGGGTCACAAGGCTCAGCCTGATGCTTCTCTAAAAGCATGCCACTAGAACACGAACCTGGATGAAACCCCATCTGCAACTACTGCTCAGGGTCTGAGATTGCCTCACCATGTTGGATCTTCCCGTTCCCTCTGGAAGGTCGTCATTATGGGCAATGAGAAAAGCTTCTCAAACCAGGAGCTGATAAAGCGGGAAAAGGGTGTGAAAAGAAGGGAGGGCTTTGAAAATGCCCCCTGTCTGGGTGGGTGCCAATGCCACTTGCCAGGAAACGTGTGTACCCCGAGAAAGCAAGGACCCCATTTTTGGTATGCATTGAGTGTATTTGAGAAAGGAGGATTTCTATCTTATTTACAGATTGAAAAGTAAAAAGACTTTATTTTGTGTGAAATTTACAATGATGTTTTAAAAAACACAGGACAAAGGAGGGTGAAAAAGCAGATATGTATTTTATAACATTGTATTTTTAATAATTTATACATTCTCAATAATTGGTTTTCTTTAAGGAGGTTACAACATGGGTCTATTATTATTATTATTATTATTTAGGTAGACTTGTAATTTGTAGACTCATTGATTCCTTTTTCATAACTTAAGTATCAGATTAATTATTTTTAACTGGAGTCCCATGGAGTCTTGAAGACTGGAGTCAGTCATATTAAAACGATTGTAGCTAGTTCTAATATTGCAGTTGCCAGTCAACTCTTGCATACACAAATGCATGGGACTTATTTTAAAAGTCTTTCTTCGAGTCAATTTCAGTTTTTAGTTTCCATTATTATCACCTTGAGAACTGTTCTGTACTTAATTTGTGTAATTTGAGTGTCTTCTACAATCCTTTATCAAATTCTCTTATTCTTTCCTGATTGTAGGTTATAAGTTACTATTCCGTGTGTTTGACTTTTTGGATGTTAATTTAATGTGCCAGACTAAATTCTTCTTCAGACCTTGAGCCAGAATCTTGGGAGAAGCAAGGTTATGGATCTTCCAGCAGAAGGTAATTTAGCTTTGCTTAGACAGAACCTCCCCCAGTGACTGCTGGGAATATCCCCGGGTTGGAAATGCCACCTCATTGCTTGCTGGGAATTTAATCAGTTAAAAGCATGTCCTTTTCAAGCTCCGGTAGGGTGATTAATCTACCCTGTGCTGATGGCCAGCCTGCTAGGATGATCCAAACCAGAGCCAGACAGAACCTCTATATTTCCACTAGGTGCTGCAGTGGAGTCCTTTGTCTCATATGTAGGGATCGTTTTTGTTAAGCATTCTTCTTGGCTTGCCACCGTCATTACTATTTTGTACGTCCTCTCTGGCATATTTTCTCAACTTCCTTTTTGAGTTATCCTGATGTTGGTGTTTGAATTCCTTCTCCAGTTACTTGTTTAATCAACAGGACTTTTTTCCTACTGTTTGTTCATTTGGCTCATCTATGGTCTATTTTTGTGTTCTTGATTCAATAGTGTGTCCATCTTTAGTTTACTCACAGAAACATTTTAGGAAATGAAATTGGCAATTTTCCCGTTTTAGAAATCAGGCTGATCTGTTGCTTTGTCAACAGATTTTGAAAGATGCCTGAGAAAAATGTAAGGTTAAAATTGTCTCTGCAAACTTGAGCTGTGCATATGCTTGTTCTTAGCCAGAGAGCAGATAATTAAAGATGATTCGGAAAAGCAGAATAAACCCAAAGCAGAAAATTACAACCTTTCTGTCAAACTTCATAGTTATGGAAAGTATACTTAGAAGTTTAGGAGAAGCAATATACATTAAACAATTAGTATTAAATGTCACGGCAAGGAGTTCAGGGTCTTTCTTTAAAAACCATGGGAGCGACTGGACATTGCTTATTTAGTAATCAGAATTAAGCGGGGAGGAAGTGATTGAAATGGAAATACAAAGTTGCCTTTGAATCACTTAACAGAATAAGCCTGGTGGTAGGATCATTTTCCCCTTGGAAAACTGTAGTGTTTGAAGGATTGAATTCACATGAGTTTTGAGGAGGAAAAAAAACTCTGAGAGCCCCAGTATCGAAATCTTGTTTGAACGTTTAGATACATTTGGGTGATGAGAATAGTGGAAAACGTGGAGCCCACTTGGTAACCAGTCTCCGAAAAATAAGAGATTGGTCATTTATTTCCTTATTGTTTGTTGAAAGGTATCATCAAACAACTTGGGAAGAAGGGGTGGAGAGGAGGGTAGTTTTGATCTGAACATAAGGCTGTTCATATTTTTGACTTCTGCTCTCATTCCTTATTAAACCACCAAATCTCTTACAGACAAATGTCTGTAAGTCTAAATGTTTTTGGCACATAAATTATCATTTCAGTTTGGAATAAGATTGTTTGAGAGGCAGTGAGAAAGATCTGGTTAAGTTAACACTTGGAGTATTTGGATAAGCCAAATATCAAGTTAATCAGTTAAAAATAAAGCTGTGATTTTTGGTGGAACTGGACTTAGATGCAAGCTGTGACTCTGCACGGCGGACAGAGCTACCCAGGGGGTGTGGGGACCAGTAAGAAAGGTGTAGGGCACTGGCATGCACATGCGTGTGCTTTGCCTAACTCATATCAGCAAACTTGGAAAGTTCAGCAAGTCCAAGAAATTCAGTATTATTAGGGCTCGCTCCTTTCCTCTGCTCACTGTTTCACATCAGCCCCTTGATGGCAGGAAGTCTTTTCCAAGAAAAGATTAGAAATCCTTACGTTCTCTCTGTGTATCTCTTTCTGTCTCTCACTGCCTGTCTCTGTCTCTCTCTTTTATTCCTTCAAGGAATACTTATATGAGTTACATGAGCGTATCTTCTTACAAATAATTTATGGTCTTATAAAATAGGACGTCTCATTCTTAGCCCGCTGGGTTAGTTGGAGAAGTTGGTCTTTGCTGAAAGGACTCAAGATGAACAGAGTACAGCAGCCTAGTTAAAGTTTAGACACAGGATCCTTGGAATTCAGAGAAAGGTTCAGCAAGGTTGTGAGTCACAGATGTGAGACCCATATACTGAGAAAGAATTAAAGGGCTAAGAGTTCAAGTACTTCCCTGGTCTCTTTTGCTTTAGTTCCTTGGCTTAATCTCCTTTCCCTGGGCCAGACCGAAAAACTTTAAACTTACTCCACCCTCATTAAAAATGCACATGCCTGATTTCTGTTAGATTACTCTGAGCTGTTTTCTTGCTGTGGTACAAGTATGGTATCTGTCTGAATGACTCATTAAACTGTCTGCTAAACTTTGTTTCTCCCAAGTTACTTGATGAGCATAAAGCTGAACGTCTGTCTTGGGTCCAGCATCCTGTCTGGTTTGTCAGTCACCAAGCTGGAAAGAGGTGACACATTTTGCTTAAGATGGCACAGGTGACGAGCAGAGGCCCCGGAGTGCTCACCTCTCCGTTCAAATGGCTCTTCACTGGATCACGCCACCCTTCCAAGAGTAAAGGTCTTGGAGAACCAGCTCAAGTCATCGTTTTGCATTATTATCATTTCTTTTTTATTTTGAAGATGTAGGGTCAAAGTCGGGATGGGGTACTTAAATGGTCTGTATCTCGGTGAAGTTTAGGCCTGGCTCCCTCATGAATATATGAGGGCGACACAAAAAAGCCTGGAATTATTTTTTGGAGGGTGGGCCCCCTGTAGTACAGGCTTCCCCCACTAGGTAAGTTTTCTAGGAACCCATTGGCATCAGTGAGCCAGCTAGCCTTGTTGTCAGGGGCTGTGTTGAGGAAGAAACGAGTTGCAGCAAACTGGTGACTGTTTCTTCCATCATGACAGTGCACTTGTCTACACTGTGCTGAGTGTTCAGCAGGTTTTTACTAAATATGGCATGACCCCCATGCCCTACCTTTCCTCTTCTCCTGATCACACCCCAAGCGACTTTCTTTTTGTTTCCCCAATGAAAAAAGTCCTCAAAGGGAAAGAGGTGAAACAAAAAGACCAACAAAAAAAAAGAGCAGAAGACATTAAAATTGATCAGTTCAAAACTGTTTTGAACAGTGGAAAAAGCATCTTGATAGGAGTATTGCATCAAACAGTGCTTACTTTGAAGGTAACTGAAGTTTAAACATGTAATAATAAATACACAATTTTTTAAATAAACAAATTCCTGGGTCCTTGGGGTCCCCCTTGTACATGCTCTATGGTGCCTTAACGATATCATCTGACGTCTAGAGGAATTCATGGCATTTTGTCATCCGTGCCTCAGAGATGCCCCTCGGGTGCCATTATCAACTGTGAGGATAGAAGGGTCCAAGGAAGGAAAAAGGCCAATTAGATAAACCTGGGTTTCCTAAATCTGTTCCACTGTCACTTTCTTATCCACTTGCCCTCTGACAGAAGGTCAGAGAACTGAGCAGTCACTGGCAAAATTGTTCATGTCAACAGATTCCTGTGTCTTTGCTTTCTAAATTCAAGACCCAAGGAGTGCCTAAGCTAAAGTAGCTGTCATCATGCTCTCGCTGTCATTTCTAGTTTGCCTTAGGAACAATCTCCATTTCCTCTTCTTCTTCTTCCTCTTCTCCTTCTCCTTCTCCTTCTCCTTCTCCTCCTCCTCCTCCTCCTCCTCCTCCTCCTCCTTCTCCTCCTTCTCCTTCTCCTTCTCCTTCTTCTAGAAAGCAGGATTTATTGAGGGGATAGAAAAACTCTCACAGTGGGAGGGGACCCGAGGGGGTGGGCCACAGTCTCCCATTCTTAAACTGATTTTTACTAAACAAGAAACAGGGAATGGGATGGGGAATGCGGGAGAGGTAGGGACCAAGGAGAAGGCCGTTTGGAGATGAAATCGATATTCCTCCTCTCCTGCAGTTCATGGCTGAAATGGGACTCAGCATCCAGCCACATGTATACAGGCAGAAGACGGACGGGCAACTGTCTGTAGACAGCAGACCCTCTGCACGACTCATAGGGCTGAAAGACACATGCCTTGCTTGATAAAAATGACAAGGGTCTGGTGCATATTTCTGTCTCTATCTTCTCTGTCATCTGACACTTTATAAAACCTATGTGTTTTTAAGGTTCTCTAAATACCTACAAATAAAGTAAGGTCCATAAAAGAATTTTGAATGGTAGAACAGTGAAAGAATCTTGGATGGTGGGCCTGGAAGTTTCTTGAAAAGAATTGAGTCCAACGTTCTCGTTTTGCAGATGAGAAAAACGAAGCCCCAAATGGAAGTTCATGACTTGTTAAAAGTCTTGCAGAAAGTGAGTGGGGTGGTGGTGTAACTCTCTGAGTGTCGTTCTCAGCAGAGGTCCAGATAAAAGTAGGAACAGAGTTTGTTCTTTAAAACCTTGTCTTTGTGTAGCTACCATCCTGGGTATGAATCCAACGCTGAGGCCCAGAGCCTTGCTGCTCAGTGGTTGGTGCTAAGGGTGGTCACGGCTGGGTTACTGGTGGTAGGAAAGAGTGTTAATGAACCACTGAAGAGCACATGGGGTGAGAGGTAGTTTCTTTAGGATGTAACATTGAAGGAGGCCTGCCTGATGCTGTGTCCCAGAGCACGGGGCAAGTGGAACTCCCCCTCATGTCTTTTTACCCTTGTATATGTCTGGTACCATGATGGGTTTTACATGTGGACACCTACTCTGCATGTCCAAGCAATATACACACCCTTCAAAGCAGCCTCTGCCTGACCACTGCTTGGGCCTAGAGGTACACCCACTGTAGCATGGTCCACCCTTGGGAGCAGTGCCCTGAGAAGAGGCTTTGCCAGGATGCAAGCTCTAGGCTCTTTGGGAAGGCACTTCTGGTCTTGGCTGCCTGAGCCATCTCTGCATGAGCCCTCTATACACTCACTGTCAGCAGTTGTCAGTGGCTATTTGATTGGGACATGGGATTCTTGAACCAAATAAATGCCTAATGCAGCTGTCTTACTCCATTTCGATGCTATAACAGAATACAACAGACTGGATAGTTTATAAAGAACAGATATTCATTCTGGAATTGAGAAGTCCAAGGTTGAGAGGACTGCATCCGGCAAGGACCTTCTTCTGCATCATACCATGGCAAGAGGCATGGTGTGTACACGAGAGAGAGAGAGAGAAAGAGAGAGAGAGAGAGAGAGAGGAGAATGAGAGGGAGAAGGAGAAGGAGAAGAAGAGAGAGAGAGAGAGAGAGAAAAGACAGAAGAGGGAAGAGAGACAGAGAGAGAGAGAGCAAACAACTAACAACCGTTTACTCCTTATTTCTCCAGATCCTGTCACCCTGTCACCTAGGGAGGTCTATCTCAAGAGTCTTATAAGATAACAAATTTGAATCTGCATCTTCTCTTAGTAATACTTGGAACACTCCCCTTAGATTCAGGCAAGAGGGCTCTGAGAAAAAGAGAGAGAGAGAGAGAGAGGAGAGAGAGAGAGAATGTGTATGAGCGTAGAAGGGAGGATGGAAAGTGGCCATCTACAGGCCATGCAGACCAAGAAGAGAGACCTGGTACATAGTCTCCCCTAAGGACTCTTAGAAGGAACCAACTCTGCTGACACCTGGATTCTTGGCAGAGCCTTCATGACCTAATCACCTCTTATAGGTCGCACCTCTCAACACTGTTGCATCGGGGGTTAAGTTTCCCACACATGAATTTTGAGGGACGCATTCAAACCATAGCAGCAGCTATAGATTTTGGGGGAGATGAACAAGATGCTCCAAGCATAATCATTCTGCGTTTTTGGAGCTCACCTCTGGCCTTGGCAGCATGCCAGAGTGAGGACTCATTTGACACTGGCTAGAGGGGGGCTCTCAGCTGAGACCGCCAGGTGTCCTTGGCGTTCTTTCTCTTACCATTCCAAGGGTCAGGAATAAGTGGCCCTCCATGTGTCTCCCTTCTTGCTGCCCATAACAAGGCGGTGCAACAGTCAATGGCTTAAATAGCAATTTATCAGGACTAGAAGCCCAAGAATCAAGGTGGGACCAGGACTGTCTCCTTGGCTTGAGGATGGTCACTTTCTCCCCCTGTGCCTGTTCACAGCATCTTCCTTCTGTGCGTGTCTCGGAGTTCAAATGTCCTCCTTTTATAAGGACACAAGTCGTGTTGGAGTAGAACTTCACTACGTGCATTTGTGATGATACTATTTCCAAATACAGTCATATCCTGAGGTATGGGGCGCTAGGACTTCAACATATACATTTTGAGGTTACACCGATAGCACAGTCCATGAAAATAAACTCTCCAACAGAGATAAGCCAAAGAGAGCAAGACTTCTAAGAGATGAAATGTAGAAAGAGCATCTCCTCTCTTACGAGACGAGATCTTATAAGTTGACTCCAAGTTTTTAACCTCTTCGTTTTCTCTCTCAAGCAAAGCTCATGCCCCCAGCCTTAAGGTGGAGAGCAGCTACAACCCTTGATCCCTGCTGAAGGGGGGATCAATATGGAACCACTCACCATGTCATGGTTTGAGTGAAGACACTCTCACCCCACTCACCCCACATATTTCTTAGAGAGAAGACAAGAATGTGAGCGCCGTTCATTAAGCAGGTGTTGATTAGCTGCCTACTCTGTGTGCCAGTAATTCTCCAGGCAAAGATCCTCGCCTTCATAGAGCTTTCTTTCTAGTGGGAAAGGGCAGAAATAAACTATAAACATCATAAATATGTAAACTGTAAGTTAGATTAGTCTGCGATTAGTGAATGCGATGGAGGGGGGTAAGAGAAGAGAATGTGAAACTTGCAGTTTCAGATGGAGTGGTCAGGCCAGCCTCACGGAGAGTGTCGGGGTGAGCAAGGGTTTGCAGGTGGGAGGGAGTTGGCTCCGTGTGTGCATGGGGGCAGAGGTGCAAGGCTGAGAGGTCTGCGCCAGCCATGGCAGGTTCAAGCAGCTGTCAGCAGGCCTCTGTGGAAGGACTTGTAGGAGAGGAGGTCAGAGATGCGATGGGACATGGGCCATGTACCTCCTTGAGGTCCTGGCTTACGTGGGTGTGACATTTTATCTGACATGCTTATGAGGGTTCACCCTGGCTACGCTCTTGAGAACAGACTGTAGAGGGGTGAGGATAAAAACAAAGAACAGTTCAGAGGCTGTTGTGGCATTTCAGAGGAGACGTGCCCACGGCTGGCACCAGAGAGGCAGCAGTAGAGATGGTTCTTTGCTTGGACCAGTTATGTTTAGAACAGTTTCTCACTCCCGAGTCATGGAACCAAAATTGCCTGGCAGTATCTTCCTGCATAAATGTCTCATTCTGGCCCTAGATCAAGTCTTGGCTTGTACTTTCTAGATTAGTGACTGTAATTGACTTAAATTCCATTTTCCCTTCTAATTATTGCTGAAAAGCAATCTGTCCCTCCCCAAATTGAATTTTTATCACTGATATTTTTAACATCAGTGGTGGCATTCTTTTTGTGGCATTGCAGGAGTATTGAAAGGAGCCCCTTTTTCATTCCCACCCCGAAGCTAAGGCACTTGTGAGCTCCTGTACTAATCCAAGAGCCTCATAATCGTTTTTAAAAATCAAAGGCATTCTCATGTGAAGTTTTCTCTTAGCCACCATTCATAATGCTTAGCTCCTAAGCTACAGACAAGAGCGTTTACATTCTGCCCACATCTATTGTTGTAGCAGCTCTTAGTCTTCCAACTGGGCAGGCTGGAAACGCAACCATCTGTTCGTCTGAAGCAAATCAAGAGCCACCGTGTGTTCTGTCAACTAGCTACTGCCACATGGAGTAGCAACTTTTTTTCTTGGACTGTGAGGCACCAGTATGTAGGACCTTAATAACACATGGAATTAATCATATGGTTAGAAATGGAAAAGCCTGCCTGCATTCGTCGGGAAGGGCTGCGATAACAAAGTGCTACAGACGAGGTGGGTTAAACAGCAGAAAGTTATTTTCTTACAGTCCTGAAGGTTGGAAGTTGGAGATCAAGGTGTCGGCAGGATTGGTTTCTTCTGAGGCCTCTCTCCTTGGCTCGCCGTTGGCCGTCTTCTCCTGTGTCCTTACCTGGTCTTCTCTCTGTGCGTCTGTGTTCTTGTCTCTTCTTATAATGACACCAGTGATATTGGATAATGACTTCATTTTAACATACTTCTTTAAAGGCCATTACACTCCCCTTGTTACCAGCTGATGAACCCTGGGAAAGTTACTTAAATCTCTCTTGGTCTCTTTGACTAAGTTTTATTGTCTGAAAATGTAAATAATTATAGTTCCTACTTCACAGAGTTGTAATAAGAATTTAAAATGCTCATCTATGTAAATAATCTGGAAAAGTGCCTGGTATATAGTGAGTGATCAATGAATGCTGGACTCGATTATTCCCAGGGCAGCTGCTTTCCTCATTTGAGTAAGTCAGGTCTGGCATGTGTCTTAAAACATGTCTGCTAATTTGCGTGGACAACTTATATGTTTCCAGGGTACAACATAATTTGATCAAAGAGGATAGTTCCTTTTTTTTGAGTTGGAGTCTCACATTTTTGCCCAGGCTGGAGTGCAGTGGCACGCTCACGGCCACCCTAGCGTCGAACTGTTGGGCTCCAGAGATCTTTCCGCCTCAGCCTTCCAAGTAGCCGGAACCACAGGTGCGCGCTACCATACCTGGCTAATTTTTTAATTTATTGTAGAGACGAGGTCTCAGCAAGTTGCCCAGACTGGTCTGGAACCCGCGGGCTCAGGCAAGAGGATAGTTCTTATTTGTCACAAACAATACACATGTTTAAAAGAAACGTGGGATTCGTTTTAATCGTTAAAGTACATGAGCTCTTGTTTATCAACATTTAACTGGTCTCATTTGCTGGCCTTCAAGTTGTACTCCTGCTCTTGAATTATGGTCTAGGACCACCATGTGAAAGCAGTAGCATCGTGTATGGTGGGAACTGATGTGGCATTATTTGTACCCTGGGCTAGACACCCTATTCCAATTAGAGCAGACCACCATTATCTGTATTATATTTTACATTTCTTGGTAAACTTTTATTTGAGACAGTTCCACCACTAAGAAAGACTTGAAACCCACCAGCATAGTGTATATGTTCCTCAAATGCTTCTGTCTCCCCCCTCACCATTGCTTTTATTCTGTGTATGCCCCAGGGATGCAACTAATGTTAATATTAGCCTGAGCAAAACATAATTAGAAAGGTAAATCTACTGCAAAATGTAATATAGCATAAATTAAATATAAATCAACTCAAATATAAAACAATGCATTCAATTACCTGCATCGCTGCCTCCTTCCTCTGACGTGGATATTTGAGAGGAAACGAATTTTCTTTCTGGAATAGGGCCAGGTCTGAGCCAAGACCAGTGAACCCTGTCAACCCCTGAAAAGATGGCAGTTGACCTATTTTGTATTCTCTACGTTGGGCATTAACTAAAGTTACTGCTGTTTGGTCAGCTAGTTTTCAGTACTAGTAAGAGGGTATACTACCTACCTATCTTAATTGTTAATGCATGAACTTAGTCTTTGCATGTGATTGGGAACAACTATTTGTAATATACTATTAAATGCTCACAGAGATTCAATTATATGGTGAACTCTTTATTAAAAATTTATTAGTTGGATGAACTTCCATGAACCCAGCAAGGGAGAGTGCATTTCTGCCCAAGGAAGGGTTTTGGTTTGGACAAAGCTGGTGCTGCTACCAGAATCAGACAGGATCAGTACAGGCCTGTGCTCGGCACCTTCAGTCCCTTTTCTCTCCTTGGTATCCTGAGTGCTTTGATACACCTCTATCGCCATGTCTGTGTGACTCTCAGACTTTCTGTCCCTCAAAAGATCCAATCCCCAGTCAACCAGAGTCTAGAATTGTTTCAGGCAGGATTCCAAATATTGGTTTCCGCTGTTCCCACTGAGCACATCAATTGTTCCTGCATGGCACCTCCATAATTCAGAAGAATCTGGTGCCACATGCCCTGTCTTGGTCAGCCCTCACCTCCTCCATCTGAGTTGACCTCACCTCAGCTGGAAGCCTCTTCTGTTGAAAGTAGGTCTAGCCGGGCTCCATGGCTCAGCCTGTAATCCCACGCCTTGGGAGGCTGAGGTGAGTAGATTGCCCGAGCCTATGGGTTCGAGACCCGCCTGGGCAACTTGGCGAGACCTCATCTCTACAATAAATCAAAAAATTAGCCAGGCGTGGTAGCGCACGCCTGTAGTTCCAGCTACTCAGAAGGCTGAGGCGGAAGGATCGCCGGAGCCCAGCGGGTCGAGGCTGTGGTGGCTGGGAGCGGCCCCTGCACTCCAGTCTGGGGGATAGAGTGAGACTCCAACTCAAAAAGAAAGAAAGTAAGTCTAAAGTGGGAATGACTGCTTAACATGGACCTACACCAGCTCCCAGATATTTGCAATTGAAATAAGTTTGCTTATACTCAGAAATCACAAATTAGTGGAGGTGATAACATCCAAAGTCAGTTCAGCAAATCAGCAAATTGGCAGTTTAACTCAGATGCTTGGCAACCCCTGCACCTCTCCCCAACGCCTCCCCATGTATACCCTAGAAAGCTTGACTTTTCCTTCTTGCAGACCATTTTATCAAGTAACCACTGATCTAGTGCCTATAACCTTCTCTTGCCTTCCTAGCAGCGGTAACTGGTTGAGGCAGGAAGCATGTCTTTTTTTTTTTTTTTTTTGAGTTGGTGTCTCACTCTGTTGCCCAGGCTGGAGTGCAGCGGCACACTCACAACTACCACAGCCTTGACCTGCTGGACTCAGGCGATCCTTCTGCCTCAGTCTTCCAAGTGGCTGGAACCATAGGCACATAACATCCTGCCTGGCTAAGTGTTTTAATTTATTGTAGAGATGAGGTCTCGCCATGTTGCGCCAGCTGGTCTCGAACCCCTGTGCTCAGGTGATCCTCTTGCCTACACCTCCCAAAGTGCTGGGATGACCGGCATGAGCCACCACGCCTGGCAGGAACCATGTCTTTATGCTCTAAGGACCCAACAGACTGGGGACTTAGTAGATATTAAAAGAACGAATGAGTTTATGGACGCACGAAGGAAAGAAAGGCTCTAGAATGGGTGTTATCCCCTGCTTTCCAGCATCGACAATCCACTCCCTGCTCCCTTCTTCCCTTTCTGACCTGTGTTATTCTGTGCAGGCCCTCGGGCCCTCTTGCCTGGCTGACTGCTGAGAGGGCCTGCCTGGTTTTGTCACCTCTAGGCCTTTTTTCTCCAAGTCATCCCTCATCGTGCTGCCCAATTGATTTTCCCCCCCAAAAAGAGAACAAAACATTTCTTTCATACTGCTCTCCTGCTAAAAAAATAGAACAATTTCCCATTGCTTATGGGATAAAGCTCAAAACTCCTTAGCCCATCACTTAATAATGAAAAGAACTTGGTATTCCATTATTTTGGTTGTAAAAAATATTCCAAGCCGGGCTCGGTGGCTCAGCCTGTCATCCCGCGCCTTTGGGAGGCTGAGGTGAGTGGATGGCCTGAGCCCGCGGGTTCGAGACCCGCCTGGGCAGCGAGACCTCAGCTCTATAATAAATAAAAAAATCAGCCGGGTGTGGTAGCACGCGCCTGTAATTCTGGCTACCCGGAAGGCTGAGGCGGAGGGATCGCCGGAGCCCAGCACGCGAGGCTGCGGTGGCCGGGAGTGGCCACTGCATTCCAGTCTGGGCGACAGAGTGAGAGTCCAACTCAAAAAAAAAAAAAAATTCCAAACATATTGAAAAATGTAACAGTTACTCCTTTATCTACCACTGAGATTGAACAAATACTAACATTTCCCCCTTCACCACTCTGGGTCTCTTTCCCTAAATAAATAAATTAACATTGATGACACAGGGAAGCCCCCACCCTGTCTTTATCAGACTCCTTCCCTCTTCCTTCCTGCTAGAACTAATCATTTCCACATCTAACTGCCTTTTGAAATTCGCCTGCGTGAACCATTTAGTCCAGTTAGATTCATCTTCCCCCTGGAATTTCATTTCCCCCCCTTTTTTCCTGTGAGGCCCAGTTCACTTCTCACCTCTTCCAGGACGCTTTCTCACCAGTCCTCTAGTTTCTAAATTGCCCCACAAATTTATTGTCTCCATTGCACAAGGCAGATGATATTCGACCTGGAGAAAGTTTTTAACGTAGCAGTTTTCTCCTAGCATTGGACTGTTATTCCCCTTATAGTAATTTCTTCCCTTGCTTTACATTATAGTTGATTGCCTGCATGTGTTTCTTCTCCACCAGGTAACAACCCTGAGAGTAAGACCCGAATCCTAGTTGCATTGATTTGTTCACTCTACAGCTCTTACCTGAGTGCCTCCTCATAAGCTTCAGGAGTTTTTAAACACGGAGGATGCAGGAGTGAACATAACTGACAGTCGCTGTCCTCGTAGAACTTATATTCCAGTGGGAGAAAGAGAGAAATTGCATGAGTAAATGAATATGTCAAGGTGAAAAGTGCCAAGGAGAAAAGAGAAGCAGGGAACACCTCAGGGGGTGCTATTTCCGACATATTTAAATATGTGCATCTCCTCTATGCCCGACATGAATGCTCAGTGCAGACACAGAGGCGCTCGGTATACATTTGTTGAAATGTGCAGTGCGCCCAAATAGATACTGTTTGATTCCCTGCCAGTAAGACACCGCCTTGCGTAGACCATCTTTCTAGGAATGTGGTTACAGGAATGCACGTTTTAATCCTTTTCTGCTAGGAGCACATCTGAGCTGTTCTTCCTGTTAACAGTAGGTGTGCGCTATGGGAACAACAATAGGATGTAGTAGTGGCCTAAGTAAGGCATAATCAGAGAGGAAAGATCCGCTTCCTGGCAACGTGTTGATTCCACCGTCAGATGGAACCAATGTGGCATCATCTTTCCTTCCACCCTTCTTCAGCCACTGTGCCGATGCATAGTGTTACTCTTTGCAGAGTTCCTTAAATATGGTGGGATCAAGCTGTGGTTACCAAGAAAATCAATATCCTCTTTTTAATTCTTCTAGCCTCCAGGAAAGAATAAAGTCCCTCAACGTGTCACTCAAAGAAATCACTACTAAGGTAAGTACCTCTCTACTCCCATTTTCCGAAGAAGTCTGTGAAATTTTCTTTTGACTTAATTTCACATCTAGATTACAGGATACCTGGACTCTGGAAGAAACACAGACTCTGCCAACATATTTTCACATCTAGATTACAGGATACCTGGACTCTGGAAGAAACACAGACTCTGCCAACCCATTTTGCAGGCCCAGAGGAGAGGGCTGCTGTCATAGTGGAGGTCTTGACTGTGGTCACCCAGAAATGGACTGGTTTTGCCTTTGCTTCAGAAAAAAACTGTCATTTAGGGAATGGCAAAGAACCGTTGCTATGCATATCGAATGCCTTTGCTTAAAAAGACTTTCAGGATGGAAGTAATTTGAGAAATTAATTACTTTTCCTCCCAGGAGGGCAATGTGCAGGTTCCTTGCAAATGGAAATGCTGCAGTAGGTGATTGTTTTTTGTTTTGTGAAGTTTTTCAGTTGCCTTGAGAATCATTTTGCCTACTTTATCCTGGGTTTATGCGGCCACAGCAAGACTTTGGTTTGTATAGAGACTGAACACGTCTTCATTATTCCCTGAGAGCACGTAGCCAATTAGATTAGCCCGTGCCCTGGTTAGTTACGAGAACCACAGTTTACGAAACATGAGCCCTTCCCTACTTGGTTATATCTGACCGAGTTATTGACAGACTGAGAAGCAGGATCGATCACTCTGTGAATTATTACTAAATATCTTTGTCTAGTACTGGATATGAATCATTGATTATTTGCAGTAGGCCTGGGAACCAGGGGTGTTTATAAGATGGTCGAAACGTGAAAAGGACAGGGTGCTGAGCAGAGAGGAAGGCAACCGAGAACCCACTGTCCTGGAAGGAAGCTCTTCTTATCTGGGTGCTTTGACCCTAGATCAGGAAACACGCCAACAACACAGCTAAGTTGAAACTGGGGGTGCACTGTTGACAAAATCCACAGTTACTCTGGCCTCTTTCTCTGTCTTTGTATCTAATTCATTTCTGAAAACAGCACTCAATGATTTTGCTAAAAGTCACACTGCAGCAGGTTTGACTGGCGATCATACCTTGCATACCAGGAGAGCGTCTTGTTAGAGACAAGAGGTGTCCATAGGATGGCATCGGGGCCAGGGACCCAGGAATGCTTAAAAGCTGTTCTGCTGTCCCTCAGAACGTATACACATATTCACCCAAAGAAGAGCAGACTGAGACTCAAAAGTACTGCTGTATTCAGAGCAGTGCAAGGATGTGAGTTCCCAAGCACGACTCTGGGAAAGGACTGCACAGGGCCTGGGCTTTTATGATCCCTCCCCCAGATCTGCATCTTAGGATCTCATGCCAGCCAGGCCTGAGACCCTTTTCCCTGGCCGACTTCAGGGTTAAGAGGGACTCAGCTTACCAATTTTGTTATATGAAGCAGAAGAGGATGTGTTAGAGAGTGACCTGAATCTCTGCCTCATAAGTTGTAGTGGCACCGCCCGCTAGGATTTATGGCTCTGACTGTATCTGCTACTGTCACCCTCAGGGGAGCGAGTAGGGAGGTGGGGAGAAGCAAAAGCTTCTTGGCATGGGAGAGGTAGTGAAAGTATTTCTTTTTTTTTTGAGTTGGAGTCCCACTCGGTCGCCCAGACTGGAGTCTCACTCGGTCGCCTCGCCTGCTGGGCTCCGGCCATCCTCCCGCCTCAGCCTTCCGAATAGCCGGAATTACAGGCATGCGCTACCACGCCCGGCTGATTTTTTGATTTATTGTAGAGATGAGGTCTCGCTGCCCAGGCGGGTCTCGAACCCTCGGGCTCAGGCAATCCACTCACCTCAGCCTCCCAAAGGCGCGGGATTACGGGCTGAGCTGCCGAGCCCGGCAAGTATTTCTTCTCCTATATTTTCTACTGTGAATATATGCCATTTATATTTTATCAGGTGCTTCCTAAATTCTACATAGAATTAAAATGGTGGGCGGACTGTCTTGGATCTGGATTTATTGACTATCTTCAGAACAATAGGAATACATAATATGAATATGAGTATGAATGTGTCTGAACACCTGCAGTGGATATTCAGATGTGCCCATTAGATAATGCAGATGGATCTTGTGTGTGGGTGTGTTTGTGACATTTTGTATTGTGAACACACTCATATATACATATACACACAGTATTGGGATTTGTTGATAGTCTCCAACTATTGTTAAAGATCTTGGATTTGCCCAAACACCAAATGGTTTGCTTTGTTTGTATACATCCTCAGTCCATTTAGGTTGCTCTAACAAAGTACCATAGACTGGCTGGCTTATAAACAGACTTATTTCTCATAGTTTTGGAGGCTGGAAGTCTGAGATCAGGTGCCAATATGCCTGGGTTCTGGTGAGGGCACTTCCAGGTTGCAGATGACAGACTTCTTGCATTCCCACATGCTTGAAAGAGGGCAAGAGTGTTCTCTGTGGTCTCTCTTATAAGTACAGTAATCCCCTGCATGGGGACTCCACCCTCATGACTTAATCACCTCCAAAGGCCCCACTTGCTAATACCATCACCTTGGGATGATATTAGGATTTCAACCTATGAATTCTGAGGGACCAGTAGGGGACACAGACATTCAGATCAGTGGCACATACCTTCTCCAAGGCACTCACAAAAGCCTTTTAATTACTTTGCTTTTTTGTAAAATTAAGGAACTCATGTCTTTGATTTAAACATGTAAATGTCAAAGCTCCAATTGATAATGAGTTCCTCAGGGTCCAATTTTATTTGTAAGTAAAAAGAAGATGCAGATTTTCTGCAGTGTGTATGTGTGTGTGTATAGCTGGGTGTGGATGTGTGCACATATATGAATGTATGTGTTTATGTGTGTGGGTGAGGGGGACTACATTAGTCTACCGAGAATTAAGACAAAACTGCCCAGTCTCTTCTCTTCACTCTAGACTAGATTGGGGACCATGATGTAAAAGTCTCAGCTTGACACAGTTTTCTTTCTCTAGTGTGTTTTACACACACACACACACACACACACACACACACATGCACGCACACCTGATACTCGCTGGGTTTCTCCCTCAGAGAGAGATGAACCCTTCCTCGCACTCTTTACATTTCTTCAATCCATATGAGTTACCCAAGCCAAAGGTAATTAAGGGATAAATGAGATGGAAGAAACAGTTGGAAATAAATGGGATATCTGGAGATTGGTGAGTATTGGGTTACATCTAGCAGAGCCTGAAAGAATGAACATTGCTATTTAATAAGAAGATTCAGAAAGGTTGTTTCACATTAATAGTGACAGTTTGAAGGATAGATTTGCTCAACAATGGAGAAACTGACCCGATTATGATTAACAGATACAGTTAACTAAAATTAGAAATATTGGACATAGATTGGATGAGACATAAGAATGATGGCTGGTGTTATAGAGTTAATGGAGATGTCCCCAGACATCCGATGACATTCTTAAGTGGATAGGATGGGATGTGCCAGTCGCTGGACATTGAGTCAACCCAAGATGTGGTTCTAGGGGATGGTAACTGAGACATCTTCCTTTTAACTCTGGTTCTGACATCCTGAAAAATCTTAGGACCATTGAAAGGGTCTCAGAATTAATTACATCGGACAAGTGGATTTTTAACCTCATCAGTGCAGGCTTTGGCCTACAGGCTACCAAACTGTTGTCTTTATCTAGACCATGATTCTTATAAAGAGATGTTGGAAAATTACAGCCACTGGATGGAAAAGGACACATGAAATTCCATGAGAGAAATAGTGGAGTATTTTAGGCAGGATGGGCGAGGCCTGCTTGGACTCTAAAAATAATCTCAATTCAGACTGAGATAAGCAAAACATTTAAAGTTGATGGTATCCAGCAAGCCCTAGATTCTTTTGGGAAATTAAACTTTGTATTTTCTCCGAGTTCTAAACCCAACTGGATTAATTTTACTTTTTGAAAGGAATCTCAGAGTCTTGGCAAGAAAAGAGTGATGCTTCTAGGTAACTTTCTTTGTGGACAACCCCAAGTATTGCTGCAGATATATGTATTTTTATTAAATCCATGCTGTGTGCTTTTGTTGAGCTGGAAATTTTTCTAGGTAGCTCATTAATCTGAGTGTTGATAACATCTGAATATGAGGTTTTAGCCTTAAACAAAAGAAAAAAAATGTGATGTTTTAGCCTCCCATAAAATAAAAGATAACCTAAAGGCATTTGGAAAAAGAAAGTGAGATTTAAGATTTTTACTATTTTTGAAAACTTAGAGAAGAATGTAGGAAGTGTTTGGAATGTGATGGGAAAACAAATGACAAAACCCTCAACTCTTCCTGAGAGTTACTTGCATATTTTTCCAATCTGACTTTCCAGCCAGTATCCATCTGCCTTCAAAGTTTCCCTAGACAGTGTCTACTAGTAATTAAATTTAGCCTTCAGCTCTGACTTTCATCTCAGTGGCCACATCTTATTTACTGCCTGTGCCGTGCCAGGCACAGAACGAAGTCTCCGCTAACGTAGAGCTCATACCTAGTAGAGAGATGATGTCAGAGCAAAGGTATGAAAACAAATAGTGTGCCAACTCGAGAGGGGGCTTTGGAAAGACATCAAGGGGAGGGAAGGCCCAGGGAGGCTGCTTTGAGTAGGTAATCAGCAAGATCTTGTCCCTGGCTACCATGGAGCAGAGAGCTCTGAAGGATGTGAGTGAGCTAAACCACCTGGGACAAGAGCGGTTCACACAGAGTATGGAGCCAAGGTGGGGAGAAGGGAGAAGACAGGAGTGATGAAGTTATTTTAGTTTGTGGTTGCTCTGTTGTGTTGGCTGTTATCAGTTTTGTGTTCAGATATGGTGAAAGGTGTAAGGTTCATGCTTGAAACATCCAATGCTTGCTTTATTTCCTTCCTTCCTTCCTTCCTTCCTTCCTTCCTTCCTTCCTTCCTTCCTTCCTTCCTTCCTTCCTTCCTCTCGCCCTCTCCCTCCTCCTCCCCTTCCCATCCCTTCCCTTCTCTGCCTCCCTCCCTTCTCTCTCTCTCTCTTTCCCATTGCTTGCTTCTTAAGCACTCTCCTCCAATCACTCTTTATTACCCCCCCTTAATTACTTGTAAGCCCAGAAATCTCTGACCTGGGTGTTTGGTTGCCTTCCAGTTTTGAGCTGAGTAAATGATGATTCCTGGCTATTTCTTTCCCACTAGGTGTCTATGAGTGAGAGATTCTGCAGCACTCTGAGGAAGAAGGTTAACGATATTGAAACCCAACTACCAGCATTGCTTGAAGCCAAAATGCTTGCCATATCAGGTAACTGCAAGGGAGGAGAAGTTGAAGCAAGTCGGAATAAAAGAATGGCAACCACAACAAAACTGTCTTTTGTCCGTGATTAACATTCCATCATTTTTATGTCATTCTCAGACAACTCAAAGTTTTTCTGAGAGTTTCACTAAAACTCGAGGAATAAGGGGGCAGCATGGTTTTCTTATAAAGGGACAAATAAGACTCTTAAAAATACCTATGCACACACAGTGAAGCACAAGTTGTGTGTGCAGGTACCATGTTTCAAACTTCCAATTCCAGTTTCTTGAAGAGTTTAGAGATGAAATGTTATCTGTTTGCCACATGGTTCTAGCATGTTATGTGTGTATATATCATTGTGTATCTTTAGGTGCTCTATGAGGATTATTAGATGTGATCAAACCCTTCCTACCGGGGAAGGATGATAACATGACACAAGCTGATATACTCAGTTTAAAAATGTAGTCATAGCACTTGGAGAATTCTCAAGAGATAACAGTTCCGTCTTACTCTGGCAGTTAGTAAGGGATATCTTTTTTCCATTAATTAGTAGCTTGAAAGCAAGAGTCTTTGAAAATGGTATCTTCCCCTAGCATTTTAATAGTGCTTTCAAACATTCCTCTGTATTTGTTATTTTATTTCACAATAACTATATTGTGAAACTGTATTGGTGAATGGGCCTTTTGGTCAATGTGCTGTCCCCGTGAGTTATACCAGTGGCAGAGTGATCATCATTCTTTTGCAGTTTCTTCACATAATGCTATTTCTGTTTTCTCCTATTTCAGTGCCTTCGGAATGGCAAACCCTCACTCCTTTAGACAAAAACCACAGTGTAAAACCTCTTCAAGAGAAGCCCTTCCCTCTGTGGGCTCTCTTTGAGAATACTGAGGGACAACGCCCTGGAGAGTCTTAGAAGCCCTGTTGAATGGAGAGGATCCTATGTGATGTCCTCGAGATCCTCAGCCAACCTTTTGTCTGTCTGAAAGTTTCTGTGATTCACGGGAGAAAGACCATGATCCCAGTGAATAGATGGGGATACCGAGGCTGTGGGTTGTGTTCTTCGGCTAAGTTCCCTCAATTAGCTGGTCAGTGGCAGATCAGGGGCGAGAGTTCAGGCTCATGCACAGTGGGTCATAGGTGCATTTTCAACCCAATTATGTAATGACAGCCTCAAAGGGTTCTCTGAGTTTTATAGGTTGAATGAACCCAGCTTCAGAAGAATCATAAAAATTTAATGAAAAGGTATAATAATTACATGTATGGGCTTTGAGTGGTATTTTAAGAAGGAATACAATAATTGGCAGCTTCTGCTCCTCAGATCATTAAACAACTAATGTTGGCAGCTAACGAGCAATTTGGTCCCTGGTGTAGACACGCGTGTTATTTACAACCAGTAGAACATGGCAGTGCAAACGTGGGGCTTGCTCTTAACAGCTTCACATGCCATTTACTTGGAATTATGGCCCCATTTGCTAAGAGAAAAAAAAAGAAGATTGAACACAGTCTTGTTTCTGACTTAGGGTTTTTGCCTTTCTTAATCAATATATCTTCCTCAGGAATACAGGTGGATGAGTCTCTATTAAGCCCAAGGGAGGATCGGTATAATTCAGGTAGCAGAAATATCCTCACTCCAATGTGAATAATCTCTCTTTAGAATCCCAGGGAAAGTTCTTAGGATGGCATATTGCATATGGGGCCCCGGTTTCTGCGTTAGCTGTTTGGGCTGCTGAGAAAATTGGTGAGGCTTAATCTGCTGAAGGAAGATCTGAATTAACCGTCCTGGGAACTAACCTCTTGACCTCGCCATTTCCTGATGACTCTAGGCTCTTTGGTGAATGGACCTTTCAGTCAACGGGCTGTCCCCACGGGTTATACTGGTGGCGGGGTGATCATCATTCTTTTGCGATTTCTGCACGTGATGCTATTTCTGTTTCCTCCCCTTTCAGTGCCTTCAGAGTGGCAAACTCTCACTGTTAGATGAAGGCCACACTGAAAAAGCTCTTCAAGAGAAGCTCTTCCCTATTTGGGCTCCCTCTGAGAATACTGAGGGTCAACGCCCTAGAGATTCTTAGAAGCCCTGTTGAATGGAGAGAATCCTCGGGGGTGCCCTTGAGATCCTCTGCCAGCCTTTTGTCTGTCTGAAGTTTGTACCATTCACTCTCTCAGATTTATAGACCCATCCTGGATGTGATCTCTGGCCTGAGGCCTTTTCTTAATTTGAGAATCATTTGTCATCTGCAGAGAATGGGAATAAAAAATAGTTTGATTTTCAAACCCAGCAAGTTCTAGGTCCTTTATATTTAACGGTTTGTTCTTTAATTCATCTCTCTTGTCTTGCGTTTTTTTTACAGGCAGTGACAAGAAGGCAGTGGGCACTGCTATATACTGCCTGGAAATGAATCGTTTTGGATAGCTAACTAAAATTACTAGGAACCCTTTTCTGTATTATCTCAGTCAATAAATGAGTGACATTTTGGCACTGCAAGGATCCTCCTTTCTCCAGCTTCCAAGTATAATTTTCTTACATTCCTTTTGGCCTTACTAAGGCCTGGTAGACTTCTATCTACTACCAAAACCAGTGCCTCAGATTTTAGGACTTTGTCACAGCAGTACCCCATAGACGGATGTCAGAATCTGTGTTTATCATCTCTTACTGCATAATCAACCAGCTCCAGCTTAGTAACTTAAAGTATCCTGAGTCACCAATCAGCATCACCAATATTTTGCCCATGAGTCTGCAATATGGGCAGGGCTTGGCAAGGGCAGCTAGTGGGCTAGAGAATCCATTTCCAAGATGGTGCCTGCATGTGATCTGGTTGTAAGTTGCTCTCTGTGTGGGCCTCTCTCTAGGCAGCTTGGCTTCCTTCCAGCACAACTGCTAAGTTCCAAGAATGAATGTCCAAAGGGATAGGAGCTGGGAGTTTCTTCTTTCTTTCTTTATTTTTTTGAGTTGGAATCTCACTCCGTCGCTTAGGCTGGAGTGCAGTGGCATGCTCTCGGCCACCGCAGCCTTGACCTGCTGGGCTCATCATCCTTCTGCCTCAGCCTTCCAAGTAGCCAGAACTACAGGCGCACACCACCATGCCCGGCTAATTTTTTTTTATTTATTGTAGAGACGAGTTCTCATTATGTCGCCCAGGCTGTTCTCAAACCCGCTTGCTCAGGCAATCAATCCTCTCACCTCAGCCTGGGATTATAGGCTTGAGCCACCTTGCCTGGCTGGGAATTTATTATTTCTTAAGGCCTGGACCCAGAAACTGGCATGCAATTCTATTAGTGTATAGCAAATGACCCCAAAATGTCATAGCTTGCCACAACAAACCTTTATTATCTTTCACAGTCTCTGAGAGTCAGGACTCTAGAGTGGCTTGGCTGAGTGGTTCTGGCTGAGGATCTCGTGAAGTTGCTTTCAAGATGTACTTTGGGGCTGCAGTCATCTAAAGGCTGGGCTGGCGCCGAGAGATCAGCTCCCTACCTGTTCGTGTGTTGTGTGCAAAGTCCTCAGTTCCCTGTCACATGGGCTGTGCCCCTCACAACGTGAGGGCTGATTTCCCCGGAGCAGGCGATCTGAGGTCGAGAGAGCAAACACGACAGAAGTCACAGTGCCTTTTCAGGACTTAGTCTTCAAGGTCACACAGCATCACTTCTGCTTTAGTAGCTAGAAGCAAGTCACCAAGTTCAGCCCACACCCAAGGGAAGGGAAGCAGCTTCGACTCCCAGGGAAGTGTATTAAAAAATTTTGTAGGCATATTTTTACAACCATCACAGTGTCACTTCCATTGTATTTTATTGGTCAAATAACCCTGGGGCCCTGATTGAGGGGGAAGGGACATAGATGATAATTCTCAATGGGAGGTGAGCCAAAGAGTTTTGGTGCCATGCTTGAAAAAGTGCCACAGTACCTACTGAGCCAGTAAGATTTTGAGAACTAAAGATGTGAACAGAGCTTTTCGGTCTGAAGAAATGGCCTGGCCGAGCTCGGTGGCTCAGCCTATAATCCTGAGCTTTGGGAGGCCGAGGTGAGTGGATTGCCTGAGCCCGCGGGTTCGAGACCCACCTGGCCAACTTGGCGAGACCTCATTTCTACAATAAATAAAAAAATTAGCCAGCCATGGTAGCGCGCACCTGTGGTTCCAGCTACTTGGAAGGCTGAGGCAGAAGGATTGCCGGAGCCCAGCAGCTCGAGGCTGCGGTGGCCGGGAGCGGCAGAGTGAGATGCCAGCTCAAAAATAATAATAATAAATAAATAAAAGAAATGGCCTAATTCGTTTATTCATTCAAAACAAAAATATCATTGAGTGCCCGAGAAGTGCCAAGTCTGGTTCTAAGTACTGAGGATGTACCAGGGAACAGGACAAGATCCCTTCTCTCTTTTTTTGGAGATAGGCTCTTACTCTGTCACCTAGGCTGGAGTGCAATGATATGGTCACAGCTCACTGCAGCCTTGAACTCTTGGACTCAAGGGAGCCTTCCACCACAGTCTCCAGAGTAGCTGGGACTACAGGCACACAGCCACCATACCTGGCTCACGATCCCTTCTTTTATGACAGTTATGTTCTGGGGTTGGCCGTGATGGAGTAGAGTGCAGCTAGATATTCCTGGGCAGATGTGGAGACAAAGCACAACTGTGTTTTGGGGAAGAAGACTAGTCTAGATGGATTCAGGCACAATATCAGTATTGTGGTAGAGATAGTTTGTCAAAGTTGGTTAGCACTAGGATATATAGGGCTCCGAATTGTAGGTGGAGGATAAAAACATTAGAGAGCCATTGCAATCTTTTTTTTTTTTTTCCTTTAAAGCAGAGTAGTGAGATGACCAATGCCAGACTTTAGGAAGCCTGTTCTGGCCATGGTGTACACAGGGATAGAGGTGGGAATATCTGGCGACTGGAAGTCATGGAATTAACCATGACAGTAGAAGTGAAAAAAGGAAGAAAAGCAGGCTAGCATAGAAAATCCACTACAGATAGGTAGTTATTGATCCTACATATTAATAGGTATTAATATGTT